GCCTAAAATTATACTTTGTTTTTTATTGAGGATTGCTTTATTGACATACGTAAAAATTTCTTCACATTCTAATAATCATAATAGAAAACTATATATTTTACTTAACAATTTTTATATTAAATTATTCTTTGTTCTTTTATCTCAAATTGCTTTCTCACGTACATGAATTGACTCACTTTTTGTTACGCTCTTAAATTATAATATTAATCAAGGTACTTCTCATAGTCAGTTGCTGACTTTATTAAAATACAGCTCGATTCAATTGGTTGTTTTTTATACTATTTTCTTAACATATGATTTGTTCTTCTCAAAATAAACATATAAAATGGTTCTAATACTTAATTGCTTAGTGTGTTTTTTTTTCTTCTAGAGTTAACTAACGCAGCTTTACTTGAAACACGGAGTATTCCTGATTTACTACAGGTAATTATTTGAAAAATCTTAGTTTACGCATAGTTCAGATGGTTTCTATCTCTTTGTAATCTTTCCTTAAAAAATACATGTACAACTAAATATATTTTAGTTAATAGTATTTGTAAAATGCTACGATTGTTATGTGTTTATTTTACTTAGCTCGGTTAATAATTTAATTGACTTCATATCTCGTTCTTGAGACCGAACTAATATTGTTTCTTGTATTATTGAACATTCTTAAGCCAAAAAATATATTTTAAATTGTAATTTGCATCTCCATAAGCATTATAAAATCACGTATCTTGTTTTGGATTATTAAAACGGCTATTCCGCTATCTTTCAAATAATATTAATATCAAAATAAATATTAATAATTAATGGCTGCTCTTGCTAGTCCCCCACTACACCTCATATCCTTTGATTGGGTGGGTAGACCACGCCTCCAGCAAGCCCCGTCCCCACTACGCTACCTGTCCTGTGATTGGCTGAGTAGACCACGCCTCCACTTAGTCCAACCCCCACCAGAGCGCACAAAACTAGTTGAATCTCTTTCAAACTTCACTGTACATCTTGTGTACTCGCACGGTACACATCATGTTCCGTCTCCTTTCAAACCCTTGTCTATCTAGGGTTTGAATGAATCTTTGTCTATCCTTCCTTAACCATTTGCGTTTCCTGAACATGCGACAGTGGTCAAACCAGGTTGCATTTCTATCCATCCTTTACATACAGCAGTGGTAAAACCAAGCTGTATTTAAATCCTTCCTTAACTTGCAGCAGTGGTCAAACCAGGCTGCATTTCTATCCTTCCTTAACATACAGCAGTGGTAAAACCAAGCTGTATTTAAATCCTTCCTTAACTTGCAAATTGGAAAAGCCATTTGCGTTTCCTGAACATGCGACAGTGGTAAAACCAAGTCGCATTTCTATCCTTCCTTAACATACAGCAGTGGTAAAACCAAGCTGTATTTAAATCCTTCCTTAACTTGCAGCAGTGGTCAAACCAGGCTGCATTTCTATCCTTCCTTAACATACAGCAGTGGTAAAACCAAGCTGTATTTAAATCCTTCCTTAACTTGCAAATTGGAAAAACCATTTGCGTTTCCTGAACATGTGACAGTGGTAAAACCAAGTCGCATTTCTATCCTTCCTTAACATACAGCAGTGGTAAAACCAAGCTGTATTTAAATACTTCCTTAACTTGCAAATTAGAAAAACCATTTGCGTTTCCTGAACATGCGACAGTGGTAAAACCAAGTCGCATTTCTATCCTTCCTTAACAGCAGTGGTAAAACCAAGCTGTATTTAAATCCTTCTTAAACGTGCAAACTGGAAAAACCATTTGCATTTCCTTAACACGCAGCAGTGGTAAACCCAAGTTGCTCCTTTCAAGCCCTTGCCTATGTTATATGTCTAAAAGTTCTTCATGCATGTACTGTTTAGTCTTTCTTGCTAGATAATTTGCTTTAGTAGTTGTGACTTGGTGTTAGTGGTTTGAATCTTTGCATGTTTTTTTAAATAACTAATGACCTTGACCTACTTGTATTATTGGTTATTTGAAACTTTATCTTTAAAATAGTTTCTCTGCCCACATGCAACTCCTCCTTTTAGATGTACTTATTCCCCCACCTCTTTACCACACTCATATCTGCCCCCACTCTGTCTATCTATATCCCCCACCACTTAGGGTGGGTATAAATGAGAGAGCATATTGGTTAATAACATAATTCTGTTGCCAGCCTGCAGAAAAGCCATGGACCCCTGCTTAAGAAAGACTACCAAGCCAATGAAGCCAGTGGCAGGCATCAAAAGATCTAAACTTCAGGAGGCGTTGACTGGAGGTATTAAGAAGACGAAATCATCAACTCCTTTTGAAACCCTTGTCAACAAGACTCTGTCGCAGCCGGGATCCTCTTCTTCTGCTTTATCTGACGATGCAAAGAAAACAACTACAATATCTACTCAATCTTCCCAAGAGCCTGGATCTTCCCTTGCCACCAAGACTCTGTCGCAGCCGGGATCCTCTTCTTCTGCTTTGTCTGACGATGCAAAGAAAACAACTACAATATCAACTCAATCTTCCCAAGAGCCTGGATCATCCCTTGCCGCCAAGACTCTTTCGCAGCCAGGATCTTCTTCTGCTTTGTTTGAAGATAGATTGAAGAAATCTTCTTCTGGTAACACTTCGTCGAAGAAACGGTCTGATTCATCGTCTTCCTCTTCTTCTTCTTCGTCATCATCTTCCTCGTCTTCTTCATCGTCCTCGTCCTCTTCTTCTACGTCATCGTCCAAAAATCAAACAATTAAGTCCCCTCTATCCATGCTTCTCTCTCCCATAATTCTCTCCTTGCTATCTCCTATTAAATCTCCAGAAAAGCCATCCACTCCCAAACGTAAGCCATCTCCAAAACCTCAAACACATAGCCTAACTCTTCCTAATTTAAATTCCTCCTCGAACCAAATGCCTGACATAGATTCTCCTGAAATTACCATTCCAAAACCCCCACCCAAATCCCTCCCTGCTGCACCCACCGTTGTTAGAAAACTCTTTACTAAAACTGAATCCTCAAAAGAATCCCTTCCCTCCTATTCAAACCCTTCTGAAAAATTGGTAAAACTCATGGCCAAAAGACGAGCTGCATTTAAGCCCAAGCCACAATGTTCTTATATTTTCCAAAAAGGGGTGAAAAAAGGTGAGCGTTGTGAAAAGTCCTGCTTTTCCGATGCTAATGTGTGCAGCCTCCACACTAAGGGGAAAAGCAGGATGGTACCCACTCAACCTAAAATTATTAGCAGCAAACCTGTCGCTACCAATCCTCAGTCATTTGAAAGACCATCAATAATCGTCAAAAGCCAGGCTCAGGAAAAATCTTGTACATCTGATCCAACACCGAGCACCTCACGTGTTGTTGTGATAGACAAGATTTTGCGTAGCCAACCACGAACGTCAGGCTTTGCTCGACCCTGTCGTCCACCACAAATTCAAGCGAAAAAAACCAGAATTGATAGGCTACCCAAAAACCGTAAATTCGAAATTCTACTGATGACACCAATCGGTGAAGTCATTTTAAGAGAAGGAAATGACAGGTTCCGACTTAAATTACCCAGAGGCATGACCATCCCGAATACAACCCACCGATACTATATAATTCGTGATCGGTCTTCGGGATGGGCATCTGTAACATTATAAATTGGTTTAGTTTCAAATTGATCTTAATTATCCTCTAAATTCTCCTTTAGTATGCAAAAATTGGGAACGCATTTGTTATAGCCTAACAAATGCGTTCCCAATTTTTGCATTTAAAGAGTGACCTTGAGATTTTGGAAATAGATTATTTTAATCAGAGATTTCCATCTAATTTACTCATAAAACATTAGAATCAAATTTGTTATATCCTAACAATGTGTTCCCAAAGTTTCGTGTATAATATTTTGACAAAGTTATTTTAGAAAACATATTGATTGTTCAGGTTGTCCAATATTACATCAACATTATTTTTCTATATTGTAAAATTAACTATTCTAAGGACATTTAAAAGATATATTATGTTTATCTCGTGTTTTGCAAAGATCTTCATTGCCATTCTGTATAAATTAAGTGTAACACTTTATGTTGTAACTCAATATATTTTCATAATCCTCAAAGGCATCTTGGTAAACAAACACAAAATTTATTTGCATTAACTTTTTAAGGTTAATTCCTTTACATTTAATCTTCGTTATCAGGTTTACTTGAATAGTAGTTGTACATTTTATACTTAAGTAGTGTTGAACTTTACAAGACATTGAAAACAAATATATAAATGGTTAGCAACCATTACACTTTGTCACTGTGGGGGAAAGGTAGTTGAAAATAAGAAAAATAATAAAGGAAATAAATCGAAGGACCAGCCTAAATTAGGCAAAGGAGTGAAACAATTCAAAATTGATAATGTTGGGATTTGTCAGCTAAATATTTTACATAAATAATTATTAAAAAAGTAACAAGACTAGTTTTCTGTTTAATATACAATATTGTTCAATTTCTGAAAAATAATTTGTCAAAAAAAAAAACTTAATATTGATGAAACTCACCAAGAATGTCAATCATTATATTCAAGTTCATTGGTGGAACCGTCTTGATGGATTCATAGTTTCTTGAGGTGTTTAAGTTCAAGTTCATTCATGTCTTGATGATTGAAATATCACTTTTAAAAAATGTCTTTCTTTCTTGTAGAATTTAACAATGATGTTTACAATAAGGATTGTATAATGTAGTTGAAATTAAAATGATTAATATTTGCCTAAATCCCATGAAAATTGTATGTGAGTTATAAAATAAAATTGAGAATAAAAATGATATGTAGTGATTGTACTGAAGATAGAAATGCAATGTTTTTTTATAATAATCAAGAATATGATGTAAATAAACATTAAATTAAATAACTTTCAGCTGTCAAGAAATTGGGATGGGAAAGAAAAATAGGAAATTGTATTCAGAACAAAGAAGAAATAAAATTATAATATATTGAAATCAATTTTGAATGAAAATATGGAAAAGTGATGAACTAGTACGCAACAACGCCGGCCACCGTTGAACGTCTGGTTCAACCAAAGTTGGTGTCACTCATTGGCATTGGATAGACTTGGGACACTGGGTGAATGTATTCTCTATCAGTGGTCTTGACTTTTACCACACGGACAATGTTGTCTTTCTCAGGAAGTAATTCACTGATACGGCCGGTTGGCCAATGGCATGGTAGGGTTGAGGTTTTCAGGAGAACTAGATCACCAATCTTGATGTTTTCAGTCGATTTTGTCCACTTGTGACGTTGCTGGAGATTATGCAAATATTCTAGGCTCCATCGTTTCCATAGATGTTGTGAAAATTGTTGCACTTGTTGCCAACGTGAAAGTCGATTGGGTGACACATCGAGTAGACGTGGTTCAGGGATGGAAACTAATGGTGCACCTGTCAAGAAATGTCCTGGAGTAAGTACATCTAGTTCTTGAGGATCGGTCGAGAGAGGTGTAAGAGGTCTTGAGTTAAGAATTGCCTCAATCTGCGTTAATAATGTCATCATTTCAGGAAGTGTGAGGATGGTTTTATCAATAACTCTAACTAGGTGTCGTTTAACGCTTTGAACTGTTCTTTCCCATAGGCCACCGAAATTAGGGGCACAAGGAGGATTGAAATGAAACCTGATGTCTGATGGAGCAAAGTGGCTTTGTAATTTATCACGTGCATCTGAAGAAGCGATGGTGTGCTGTGTGATACGGTTTAATTCATTAGCAGCACCCTTGAAATTGGTGCCACAGTCACAGTAGATGTGAGAACAAATTCCTCGACGACTAATAAATCTAGTGAGCGCTGCGATGAATGCTTCTGTTGTCAAGTCAGTTACAAGTTCTAGATGCACTGCTTTAGTAGTCATACAAATGAACAAACAGACATAGGTTTTGGTAATTTTAAGAAATCTCATGTTAGCTATTTTGGTATCAAATGGTCCCATGAAATCAGTTCCAGTATGCAAGAATGGCTTAGATGGGGTGACTCTGGGTTTCGGTAAAGACGCCATTAATGGAATGGTGTTTGTTGGTTTGTGTCGGAAACATGTGACACAGTTGTGGATCCGTTTTCGAATGATGTTTCGTGCGTTTAAGATCCATACACAACGAGATAAGATGGATTGGATGAATAAAGGACCGGCATGCAAGTAGGTAATGTGCCAGTAGTCTATGTAAATATTTGTGATGTGGTGAGATTTAGGTAATAATATCGGATGTTTTGACGGGTATGGAAGTTCAGAATTCTGAAGACGCCCTCCGACACGAATAATGTCATTGTCATCCATGAACGGATGGAGTGGTTTCAGTTTGTTAGGACAGTGGTTAGCTCGAAGTTCCCGTTTTTCAGTGGCGAAGACTTCTGATTGGACTCTGTGAAAGATCTTCAATGTAGATATTGTGCGCAATTCGTCAGTTGTGATGAAACCTATAACACGATTCTGTTTATTCAAACAGTTGTGTTCGAATCGTAAAACAATTGCAATTATACGTACTAGTTTTGTCCACGATGAATAAAATTTGAGTGGTTGCCATTCAGTGATACCTGTAGTTACAAACACAGGCAATGGTGTTGGTTTTAATTCGGACGAAACTTCAGAATTAAAGTCAGTTTTTGGATGCTCTTGCTTTGGCCAATCTGTTGATGGACGTGAAAGCCATGATGGCCCTGACCACCACATATGATTTTCTACCAGCTGTTTGACTCGTAAACCACGAGAACCACAGTCAGCAGGATTGTCATTAGTGTTAACGTGATGCCACACTTCAGTGGAGTGCGTTTCTTGAATCGCGGCAACTCGATTGGCGACAAAAGTTTTAAGTTGGTAAGCTGGGGTTTTGATCCAGGTTAAGACAATTGTGGAATCAGACCACAAGAAGATGTTGTTTGTATTAAACATGTTGGGAAACAATGATGTGCAATGTGATGTCAACTTTGACAGCAAATGAGCTGCACATAACTCTAAACGAGGTATTGTGGTGCGACGTAATGGAGCGACACGACCTTTTGCCATAACAAAGTTTATGGTGACTGAATCATCAAGATGAACACATCTGAAATAAATTAAACAAGCAAATCCTGTTTCTGAGGCGTCCGCAAAACCATGAAGCTCAATGCTTTTTAAAGAATGCAGATTTAAAGAACGTGGTATGGTGATGTCTGATAAATATTGAGTATCATCGGAGAATCGTTTCCACTGATCGATAATAGAATCAGGTAAAATGCTGTCCCAACTGATTCCAAGAGTCCAGATTTGTTGCATAATACACTTGGCTATCATGATGCATGGAGTTAAGAATCCACACGGGTCATAGATTTTAGCGATTGCGCTAAGAACATGTCATTTTGTAAGATTTGCGTTAGAATCTAGATTAGTGGTAACGTAAGTGAAAACGTCCAACGTAGGTGACCATTGGAGACCTAATACAGTAAATTGAGGACAGGAGGATTCAGACACAAATTTTGGAGTTTCGCGATGTGACTCAGGAAGATCTTGAAGCAACTGTTCTGAGTTTGACATCCACTTGCGAAGTTCGAATTGACCACATTGCAATAACTGAGTAAGTTGAGTCTTAAGTTGTATGGCCTCTTCCAAAGTGTCTGAGCCAGTAATAATATCATCCATATATGTATGGTGTTTTATTGCATAGGCTGCTTGAGGGTACTTGTGACCTTCATCAGTAGCTAGCTGGTGCAAGGTTCTAATAGCTAGATATGGAGAACAATTCATACCATATGTAACAGTGTTAAGTTGATATGTTTGCATAGGCTTATTTGGTGAATCGCGCCATAGAATCAGCTGATAGTTACGATCCGAAGGATGAATCACAATTTGGCGATACATTTGTTTGATGTCTGAGCACATGACAATACGATGTCTTCTGAACTGAGTCAGAATGTCAGCTATGTTAGGTTGCAATGCTGGACCAGTCAGTAACAAGTCATTGAGTGAATGGCCAGAATCAGTTTTGCAACTTGCATCAAATACAGTTTAGTTGTTGCATCAAATACGAAGCTTAGTTGTTGAACTAGATTCTTTTAACACCCCGTGATGAGGTAAATAATAATGTTGCGGAGTTAATGACGACACATCTATGTGAGACATATGATCAAGAGATAAGTATTCATGCATAAAATCTTTATACAGCATAGAAAAACGTTCGTTACGCGAAAACTTACGTTCCATTGCAATTAAACGTTGCTTAGCTGCATCAATGGACGAACCTAACATTTTGGATGAGCCTTTAAATGGTAACCGTACAATGTATCTACCGAGTTCGTCTCTGGTATGAGTGTCTGCGAATAACTTTTCACAATGAATATCTTCTTGGGATTGTTTTTTGTGGTTTGGGATTTCTTCTAAAAGCCAAAATCTTTGAATGGAATCGTGTATGTCATTTAAACTTGTTGTATGCAAACAAATATTTAAAGTACTCGATTGAGATGTGCATGATTGCAATGTATCAGGTGTACATGGAGTAGTACCAATAATTATGTTACCACATGGAGTATCAATTATTGATGGCAATGTGCTGCCGAGTGATGTAACAGGACCCGTGAATAAATGAGTTACCAAGGATGCTCCTAAAATGACATCAATGCGGTTAGGAAGATGAAAATTAGGATCTGCTAATTGTTCATGTTTCAAGCGTGAAACGACCTCTGGAGCTACTGGACAACGAGGAATGTTCAGTGTAAGCTTATCAAGTATAACAAATGAATGGTTCGGCTGTAGTGTAATTCCCGATAAAGTCTCAATGTTTGCTGTAATTTGCCCCTTTGTTTTCGTACTTTGCTGACTGATGCCTACAATTTGAGTAAAACATCTACTTCGAGGAGTATTCAGTAAATGGACAGCACGTTCAGAAATAAGAGACGCCATGCTTCCTGTATCAATAAGCGCACGAAATGTTTGAACCTGTCCACTGGAACTACGTATGTTAATTAACAAAGTTCCCAATAAGACCATTGCTGTTTGTGAAACAGTGGTTCGAGGATTACGGACATGTAAGTTGATTGGATTTTTTGCATCTGTATTAAGATTAGATGGACGAAACGGTTCATTACGTTTGTGTGAATTGGATTGTCCAGCTTTATTTGTGAATGTCAGTTCTTCAGTTGGAAAGTGCAATAAGGTGTTGTGACGTTTACTACAATGTTTACAAACTGACTGAGACTGACATGTTTGAGAACTATGATTTCCTAAGCAAGAAATACAATGGTGATGTGATTTTACTGCCTGGAATCTGTCTTGTGGTGATAGTTTTAAGAATTTGGCACAGTTGTATGTTTTATGATCAGTGCCAACACATCCAGCACACAGCAACGTTACTTGTTGAGATTTAGTTTTTGAGTTGAATATTGGACTTGTTATAAATTTACGTGTGTTAACCTGTTTTTCCGGAACATGAGAGATACGTGATTCTTTAAAACACGATGTGGTAGCAACTGCATCCTCATGCCGATCACATTCAGACGTTAGAAATTCAAGTATTTCTTCTGCAGAGGGCAATGTGTGAGCTGTAGCCTATCTGTTGTCTCGGAATGTTTCAAGACGTTTGCGTAAATCCACATCAAGTTTCCGAAGTAGCAAAGCCGTCAATAGATGGTTAGAATTGCTGATGTCACAATCGATTACAGTTAACGCCTGAATATGTTCATTGTAGCTGTTAACAAACGTGCGAATTCCAGAAACATTGCGACTAGAAATGTCTGGTAAGTCAAGAATAATATTGAGATGAAGTAGGCGTAAGCGTCTGTCATTTTGGTAACGTTTAAAAACCATTACGTAGGCAATGTCATAGTTAGCCTCAGTAAGTGAAAGGTTTTTAATCAGGTTCAATGGTTCTGATGACAAAACACTTAATAAGTATTGAAACTTAGTTACTTTGTTTAACGTGTCGTTTTTGTGAATTGTCGTATTGAAGACATTGATGAAGTTTGACCAATCAGCGAAGTTCCCACTAAATTTAGGAAGTTCAAGTTTTGGTAGTCGCGCTGAACATGACTGATGCTGTATAGTTAATTCAGCGTTCGAACCAGGAAGGCTAAGTTGTTCATCGCCAGATGACAACATATCATCAATAGAAGAGGTCAACTCTATGAACAAGTCTGATACACTGTTTTGATCAGCTACCAAACGCTCCTCAGTAATGTTCCCCTCATCCTGAACTTGAACCACACGTTCCAAATTGCAAAGAAAATCGTCATATTTTCTTTGAATTTCATTGCGGTAATTGGTCAATTTTCTTAAGTCCGATTTGGTAATAGGTGTGTCATAATTGTTAATAATCTCTAAAAGATGAGAAAATCTAGCCTTTGTCAAGTTGGTGAGACGTATGTAAGTTTCAGACTTGAAATCTGTTGATCTGTTGCCGGGCATATTGCAATGGGCGTGTTACGTACAGTCAGACACGTAGGGACAGAAGGAATGAGAAGTAAGATGGATGTTTCGATAATAGACTATAAGGCCACAGGGCTGATAACAAAATAATCCTGCTCGATTTGGACCAAGAATTTGTGGGGGAAAGGTAGTTGAAAATAAGAAAAATAATAAAGGAAATAAATCGAAGGACCAGCCTAAATTAGGCAAAGGAGTGAAACAATTCAAAATTGATAATGTTGGGATTTGTCAGCTAAATATTTTACATAAATAATTATTAAAAAAGTAACAAGACTAGTTTTCTGTTTAATATACAATACTGTTCAATTTCTGAAAAATAATTTGTCAAAAAAAAAACTTAATATTGATGAAACTCACCAAGAATGTCAATCATTATATTCAAGTTCATTGGTGGAACCGTCTTGATGGATTCATAGTTTCTTGAGGTGTTTAAGTTCAAGTTCATTCATGTCTTGATGATTGAAATATCACTTTTAAAAAATGTCTTTCTTTCTTGTAGAATTTAACAATGATGTTTACAATAAGGATTGTATAATGTAGTTGAAATTAAAATGATTAATATTTTCCTAAATCCCATGAAAATTGTATGTGAGTTATAAAATAAAATTGAGAATAAAAATGATATGTAGTGATTGTACTGAAGATAGAAATGCAATGTTTTTTTATAATAATCAAAAATATGATGTAAATAAACATTAAATTAAATAACTTTCAGCTGTCAAGAAATTGGGATGGGAAAGAAAAATAGGAAATTGTATTCAGAACAAAGAAGAAATAAAATTATAATATATTGAAATCAATTTTGAATGAAAATATGGAAAAGTGATGAACTAGTACGCAACAGTCACCATTCGTTTTTTTAGCATGGAAATAAATATGATAGAAGTTTCTATGTTTGGTTTTTCTTATTAAAACCCCTACTGATCTATTTTTAATATTGCAAATTACTAAAACGTAAAGATGTATCGTTTTTATGATCAATACAGTTGTATACATTTTATTAGCTTAATAACTTTGTCCAACAATTAGGTCAAGGTTAAACTGAAGAGTTTTTAAAAAATAATAAAATCAGCTACATATCTTCTGATTCACTCTCTGAACTAAAGGATAAACTTCTTCGAAAATTACCACACAACTTTTTAGTTGTTGTCAAATTTATACTTAATTAGTGTTGAATTTTATTAGACATAGCCAATGAATATATAAATTATTAGTAGCCATAATACTTTGTCTACATTCGTTTTGTAGCAAGAATAGGAATAAATAAACCAGAATTTTATATTTTTAACATTACAAATAATTTGTTGCTCTGCTATGTTACCATGACTTAAAAATTGCTAAGCTGTAATATGTAATGATGTTATAGAAATGTTATTAGCTTGATTAACTGTGTCCAACAATTAGGTCAAGGTTAAACTGAAGAGTTTTTAAAAAATGGTAAAAAGCTACATATTTTCCGATTCACTCTCTGAACTAAAGGATAATCTTCTTCGAACATTACCACAAAACTGTAATACTCGACAAAGTTTATTTTCTCCATTTTCAACTTCATCTGCTTGAACTGGAATCTTTGGTGTTTCACAGTAGTCCGAATGAAATTCATTGTTCGGTGTAGGTTGACCTTGTTCATTGTTCACATCCTCGTCCAGTTGTTCTTCCTCTAGCATCTCTTGCAAGTCCTCGTCGATTTCTGTATCACTTTCATTTTGTGCTTCATCAAAATCAGTCTCCCAGATTCGAGGCTCTACTCCAGTAAGGTTCGTGTGGTCTGTAGGAGGCATTGCGAATGTGTAAGCTATAATGCTGCTTCCTGCGTTATTAAAAAATCCCGCCCACGACCCCCACCACCACCGTAAAATACTTATGCCATTGGTGGAAAGGGTGGGGGTCTAACCCCCCCCTTATTGAATAAATGGAGTGGGGGGTTATACACTGTGTTATATAATTATATGAGTCACGCACGCAACCGATATCATTCCAATGAACACAACCATGCAGTGTGTAATATAGCTAGTTTCCTTAGTAGTGTCTTAAACTACAAAAATGTATCAATGTGAAAATTGTCATGAGTCTTTTGAGGATGAATTTCTCCTCAATATTCATCATGAACTCTTACATATGTCTAATGAATCTTCAACACCTATGCAATATGAAGATTTGATAGAAGACTCCTTCTTACAACAGAACAGACTAACAGTTATACAGTATGCACCACCAAACCAACAATTATCAGTAGAAATATTAGCCCAAGTATTTCCTAAAGCCATAGTAAACCATTTTAAAATTTCTAATACAAATTATGATTTGTCAGATTTTATTTTAAAAGCTAAACCCCTTATCATAAAAACACTACAACAGGAACTAACCAGACTTAATTTTGTCAAATTTGGCTTGCTCTTGGACACTAGATTTACAAATGTACAAAATGAGGTGTCCCCTCGGGGGTTTATAACACGAAATAAATCCATCATGGTAACCACTGATCTGGAGGCTGAAGTCGACAGTTGCTTGGAAGAAATTGTTGTTAAAATATCTGAACATGAAGGAAGAGGATCTGGGTGGTCTTTGTTAAGCGTAGACAGCTTAGATATACGTGTACATAAACATGGGTATGGTGATAGAGGTAGTAGTTTCATCCCACTGCCCAAAAAGATTGCTAATACAAGAACTTGCATAAATGTTCAAAATGAGGACAATGAGTGTTTTAAGTATGCTGTTTTAGCAAAGTTTGTTGAAGACAGGCATGCCTATAGACCAAGCCATTATTATAGTGAAGTGGCTCATAAATATAATTTTACAGGTTTGGCTTACCCAGTGTCTTTAAAAGATATCAAGAAATTCGAAAAACAAAATCTTAATTCATCCGTTAATGTGTATGGATTGGATGAGTCTAATAATGTGTTTCCTATTCAGATTACATCTCATGAACGTAGAGACCAAACAGATCTTTAACTTCTTACAAATGGTAAAATCTCACATTATGTTTACATAAAAAACTTTTACGCACTTTTATCAAGACAGTTATCCAAAAGGAAGATGAGTCTCACCATTTGCAAACGGTGTTTTTGCTACGCTGCCAAACCATTTCATTTGGGGGGTAAGGAATGGTTACTTGACCACCAACGTCTCTGCAATAGTAAGGACGAAGTAAGGGTTAAATTACCTCACCCTAATAGAGCTTTTATTAAATTCAACAAAACGGCTCAACAATATCGAATACCAATTGTTATATATGCAGACTTTGAGTCATCGTTAGTTCCTTTAGTTTTAGATGAGTGTGATCAAAGTAAAATTAAAAAAATTCAATTTCATGAACCAAACAGCTTTTGTTTAATGCTTAAATCAACTTTGGATGAAGATCATTTACGTCAGTACGGGTTAACAACCCAACCACTTGTATATCGCGGTGAAAATGCTGCTAAGTCATTTGTAGATAACCTTTATGATATAGCTAATAAGGTGGAAAAACTGTATAGTTATGTAGTTCCAATGATTAATCTTACACATGATGAATTGACATTCCATGAAAGTGCGGATAGATGTTACCTTTGTGACTGTAGTTTTACAGAAGACAACAGGCGTGTTCGGGATCATGATCACCTGACTGGTTTTTACAAAGGCCCTGCTTGCAACAGTTGTAACATTAATTTTAAATTACCAAAGTTTATCCCAATAGTGTTCCACAATTTAAGTGGATATGACTCTCATTTCATAATTCCTGAATTAGGTAGGGACAAAGGGGCGATTGATGTTTTAGCTACAAGTACGGAGAAATTTATTAGTTTTTCGAAAAAAGTGGGTAAAATAAAATTAAGGTTTGTAGACTCTTTCAGATTCATGGCTTCTAGTTTAGAGAAATTGACAGCTAATTTGCAAAGAGAACATTTTATTGAAACTCAAAAGATTGTCGCATCTGATCACATGGATTTGGTTCTTCGTAAAGGAGTGTACCCTTATGATTATATTGATAATCCTGAAAGATTTAACGAGACCTCACTACCAAACATTGAGGCATTTTACAGTCAGTTAAATGATTCTAATATTGACCCTTAAGACTATCAACATGCTTGTCAGGTATGGAGTGAGTTAAACATGAACACCTTAGGCGAGTATAGTGACTTTTATGTGAAGTTAGATGTAACACTTCTTTGTGATATAATGGAGGAATTCCGTAACACCTGGGGGGCCTACGGATTAGACCCTCTACATTCATACACCTCGCCTGGATTAGCTTGGCAAGCTATGTTAAAAGAAACAAAATGTACATTACAGCTGTGTAACTCATTTTGTTGTTA